GAAAACAATCATGGCGGGCGCATCTGGACTGCATCGGCTGTGAAACCCTTCCGTTTTGAGCCACAGACAGTAGTGGTGTCTCTGACCCCGATCCAGGCGATGAGAACGTTTGGGAAGGAGGTGACGTGGAGACAGAGCGTTGGAGGTTGGACGATCGATGGGTTTGTCAAAGGGTTGAGTGAATTGCAACGTAAACAAACCGCGGTACCGACCTGTTAGAGACCGGCTCCTGCACGCCCTGCCGGATCAGATCCCAACGAAAAATCAGCAGAGTTCGGAGGTTTGCCGGGTGGAGAATCACATCGAAGTCAGGGTGGTTTCTAATGCATGGGTGGTTTGGACCGACGTTCTTTTTGAACAGTGTCTGGCAGGTCGTGGCAACAAACACTCCCGTACAGAGGGCAATTCCAGGCAGTTTCCACAGCGGCACCAGTCCCGGTTCCCCAACCTCCAACGCTCTATCTCCACGTCACCTCCATCCCAAACGTTCTCATCGCCTGGATCGGGGTCAGAGTCACCACTACTGTCTGTCTGTGGCTCAAAACGGAAGGGTTTCACAGCCGATGCAGTCCAGATGCGCCCGCCATGATTGTTTTCGCTAGTAGCAGAATGGAAACGGTGACGTCAAATCTACAGTCGCTGCGCCGCCTAGCGGACAATCGGGCTCTAGCCGGGGAACATCGAGCGGGTCAGATATAACCGCAAATATGTGCGGGGTTGGCAGAAACCAATAAATCACCATTTACAAATAGGATTTTGGGTGGAAAGGCCCCAAAACTGAAAGTATTGGATTTGTCCTTTAAAGAGATAATTTTGTGCAGTGGAACAAGGTATTGGAATCTGGTAGACATCGGATTGTCACTGCTCTAAACTCTAAATTGTTCTAAGCTCTAATAACAACGAACTCCTGTCTTTAGTTAAATCGTGTATAAAGATGTACATGAAGAAACAAAACCTTTACGCATCTTGAAACAGTATCAGAGAGGATGGTCAGTAGCAAAAGCCCAGGAAAATGTAAAGTAAAATCTGACCTGCTCAGTGGCGCTGGCGTTGACTATTTTCTGTAAAGTGGCGATAACGGTGTCTACATCACCAGACGAGAGAGATTCAGCCTGTGTTGTGATCACCTGAAGTTCCGTTGCCACAGATAGAGCCGTCTCGTTGTTCACTACAATCTGCAAAATACACAAACCTCCGCTGCAGTACGAAGAGAAGCAAATTTAACCATCCCAAATATTATCCCGTTTTTAATTGGGGTATAACAAAATCAAAAAGGAGTGAAAACTAGACAAGAGAGACAGGAGGTTTTTCAATTATTTTCTTTTTTTAGATATTATTTCAGTACGTTATGCGTTGGGTAGGTGGTAACTCTTAGTACGTCTGTGGGCATATTTATTTGAACAGTACAGCTCAAAGAAAAAAATATACCAATCCGGTAGAATAACATGTAGTTACAACACAATCTTTCTCACTGCAAAACCCGTAAGAACTGGTAATGTTAACCTTGCAAACAGTACCGGAATTTCCAATAGTAGTAGATGAGGGGCAAGTGACGTTATTCCATTTACTACTATATTTGGACGAAACTACCGAGCTTAGATTTTATTTAGTCTGTCATTGTCAAGTTAGGTACTGTTTACAACTGTACTGGGATGTATTACCATTTGTAAATCTAACTTTTCACGTAGTAATGTATAATCACAGTGTTTGGTGTAAACTCTTACATGGGACGATTTGGTGTAAACACGTACCCAGGACAGTTTGGTGTGAATATGTTCCCGGGACAGTTTGGTGTAAACACGTACCTTGGACAGTTTGGTGTAAACGCTTACCTGAAACAGTTTGGTTTAAACACTTACCCGGGACAGTTTGGTGTGAACACGTTCCCGGGACAGTTTGGTGTATATACTTACCCGGGACAGTTTGGTGTAAACACGTATCTAGGACAGTTTGGTGTAAACACTTACCTGGAACAGTTAATGGTTTAAACACTTATCCGGGACAGTTTGGTGTGAACACGTCCCCGGGACAGTTTGGTGTGAACACTCACCTGGGGCAGTTTGGTGTAAACACTTACCTGGGACAATTTGGTGTAAACACTTACCTGGGACAGTTTGGTGTAAACACGTACCTGGGACAGTTTGGTGTAAACACCTGGGACAGTTTGGTGTGAACACTTACCTGGGACAGTTTGGTGTAAAAACTTATCTAGGACAGTCTGGTGTAAAACCTTATCTAGGACAGTTTGGTGTAAACACTTAACAGGGGCAGTTTGTTGTAAACACCTACCTGGGACAGTTTGGTGTAAACACTTACCTGGGGCAGTTTGGTGTGAACACGTCCCCGGGACAGTTTGGTGTAAACACGTACCTGGGACAGTTTGGTGTAAACATCTGAGACGATCTGATGTGTGAACACTTACCTGGGACAGTTTGGTGTAAACACTTACCTGGGGCAGTTTGGTGTGAACACGTCCCCGGGACAGTTTGGTGTGAACACGTCCCCGGGACAGTTTGGTGTAAACATCTGAGACGATCTGATGTGTGAACACTTACCTGGGACAGTTTGGTGTAAACACTTACCTGGGACAGTTTGGTGTAAACACTTACCTGGGACAGTTTGGTGTAAACACGTACCTGAGACAGTGTGGTGTAAACACTTACCTGAGACAGGTTTTGTAAGTCAGTACCACACGTGAGGAGGACAGGCTGGTCCCACACTGCAGGTCCATCTGGTGTGATCCGACAGAAACGAGAGGCCAGGGGCTTCTCTGTGGAGTACAATATGAAGACGCATGTATGTCACAGATACATCGTGGTCTATTAATTTCTCGAAGGCTAAAGTACTGGGTTCGAATCTCAAGCAGGTCTGAACGATTCCCCCTGAACGTCCCATACACGTACACATTCATGAAATGTTTCATAATAAGCTCTGAAATAGGGTCATTTATTTATCTATTTAATCGCAAAACATTCAGCTTACGATAGCTGTTTTCCGAGGGGCCCAGCATAGTACAAGACGTAATAAAATGAAAATAACATACAGTACATAAAAACGCAAAGTCCAATGAGTCAAAACATAGTTAAAAAATCAAAGTCCTAGCCGCTCCATGGTAATAGAGGTCAAAATTTGGAGTAGGGGTCAGAGGTCAAGATGTTACATGCACTAACCATTTTCTGCAGACGAGTTACAGCGTTCAGCAGAGTAGGAGAAACTTCCGCCGTCTGTACGTGGAAAAGTCACCTGTCCGACTTCGGTGTCAACAGACTCCTCTTTACAGTAGTCTGCCGTAATGAGTGATAACCATGACTCGATACATCGATTAAGAATCATTAAGTTAAGAATCTTAAAGTTCATCTCCTGTGAAAATATTATTAACTGATTTCATGCAAATTAGGACTTTATTTGCATGACTAATAAATCATTCGTCAGTTGTAAAGTTGTGTCAGATATCTAGAAGAGAAGACCAGTAGATGAATACATTAAAGGCATTAAAAAGGATTTCAAAATCTAATTACTTCTAGGTCACATCAAGACCTAGGTATAGCAGTTAATGTCAATATAACCCAGATTTTGTCATCCAGAATACTTTTGTTTTGCCACAGTGAAATTGCATTGGGTACCTTCAAAACTTGCCAATAACATTTTAGAGTGCAATCTTGAACCACAGCAATTCATATAGAAACAAGAGTTCCGAGATCTCATACCTCCATGAAATATGGGCTTGACATGGTAATGTTAATTTCTTCTTTAATTATGCAAATTACCTCCACATTAACATAATAAATGCATCGTGATGTTAACTTTTGATTAACTTACACATGTACCAAGTATGAAATTCCCATCATTTACCACTAAGGAGTCATAGATTTTTCGCGTTAATTATGCAAATTAGGTCATCATTTGCATAATTAGTATCTGGTGATGTTCCATCTGCCATAGATTACATACTAGTACATTACATGTATGAAAGTACTACAATGCAAAACACTGTAATTATAGAATTTCCTCATTAATTATGCAAATTAAGTCCTCATTTGCATAATTTGTAGTTAATTATGTACATCTCTCTCTCAGCTACCTACCTACCAAAAATGATGAAAATACATTGTTTCTATCTGGACTTATTGGCTTTTAAAGATTTCGCCCGAAAGTCCCCTGCAGTTCCAGAACAAGCTGCTAGGGGGACCAAACCCACACCACTCACTAGACAGGACAATCTATCTGCCACCAAAAAATCAAGACCATAGCATATTCAGGACAAAAGATACAAAAACCGGAAGTTCTGCTGCAGTACCAAGGTCATGCACCAGGAGGCGTATATTTGACCTCGACCTTCGTCTTCTTAAGACCTACCAGCATACCAAATATCATCACAATCCATAAAGGCGTTATGAAGTTATGCTGGCCGCAAATGTGCGGAGACACAAACACACAGACAGACAGACAGACGCAACAAAAACAATACCTCCATTTTCATGGAGGTAATAACACAGGTTGTTTGTTTTCAAACACACAGCCATACAGTGGCACTGCCACATTTGCCCTGAAATAGGTCACCTATTCCCCTGAGGGAGCGCGCTGCCTCGCTGGGCATAGCCACATCTGTTACCCTGCCTCGCAAGTATAAAAGAGATTCCTCTCAGCCATGCCCTGACTCAACCTTAAACCGGAAGTGCTGCTGCAGTACCAAGGCCATCCACCAGGAGGCCCATATTTGACCTTGACCTTCGCCCTCCTAAGACCTACCAGCATACCAAATATCACCACAATCCATGAAGGGGTTATGGACTTATGAAGGTACAAAAATGCGGAAACACAAACACACATACACACACACACACACACACACACACACACACACGCACACAGACGCGCCAAAAACAATACCTTCCATTTCATGGAGGTAATCAAGAATACCAGCGTATCGCTCAGCACCGACCTACTTCATGTAAGGTAGAAAATAGATGTGTTGAAAATTAGGAAAGTCAGAAGAAAGCTCACTGCGTACCGATAGAAATGTTGCAAGTTCCTCCTTCGTAGCCCTCGTCACAGGTGCATGTGAAGATGTCTGGACCGCTGATACAGGTCCCATAGACGCACGGGTCGGGCTGGCAATGGTTCACAGCTGTCAAGACATGAGCAAAAATAACAACAAAATTCATGAAGAGGAGGTAGACTATTCTGCTTCAGAACTTGGTGTAAGATTTATGAGTCCAATTTCTTGTGTCCAACTTGTTTTAGAATGAACCAACACAGATTAACCTCAAATATAATTTGCATCATCTTTGTCATGACTTGTCTAACTTTTGTTTACTTTGGGTCTTTTGTCTTCACTTATTTGCATATCAATCAATAATGGTGTTTATAAACCTGCGTTTTTGCACAAGTTCTCTAGTGTCACTGACGAAAGATAGTGGATGCTACCTCAAACGTCTTACTTAGGCCTACTGCCCATCCTTGGGCATAGGCCACGGACAGTTCCCTCCATCTGCTGCAGTCCTGGGCCCTCTTCAATTCAATTCTTCATTAACATACCAAACATAACAGACAAACATGGCATACAATGTTGCCTGAATGGCGTTGATATTTACATGTATACAAAATATCATATATTTTACAATAACTATAAAAACAGTACAGTAAGTGTACAACCCACATATTTACAAGGTCCATTATCTCGGCAGTCCCCTTGTGCCAGACTATCTGTGTAGTCCGGTTATATCCTATAGAGTCTGATTGACTGGTGAATGAAGGAGTCATGTAGTCTTTTTGTTCTGGGGGGGGGGTAGAAATATCGTTTTTTGTTCGTGAGTAAACGACCGGCAGTTGTAGATCTGGAAAGAGGGACAAGGTCATTTAGGGGGTGGTCTTCCCGTAGCATCTGTGTGAAGAGTTTGACGACAGCATCCTGACGCCTTGACTTGAGGGTAGGTAGTTCGGGCACATCACGCCTACCCCCTCGGCTGATGATGCGTTGGACACGCTCAATTGCACGCTCCTGTTCCTTGCTACATCCAACAACGGGGAATGTTGTGTCCTAAACCGTGCCCGTCCCGTTCTATGCCTGAGCGGGCACAGAACGGGACACAGCCTGTCCCAAACCGTGCCCGGAAGTGCTGTCAATCATAGTGATTGGCGGGAACCTAGCATAATTATTCGCGCCCACGATTTCTTATATCGTGAGATTTTGCGAGTCTGTGTACAGTGCTTTCAAAACGCATTTTTCTCACAACTAAGATTTATGTTTGGTCGATATGAACTTAGATAATAATATACAGAGACCAGTTAATACAAGAAACTCGCTTGGGACACATGTTATGAGAACTGTGTTCAGTCCACTAGCACGGAATGGGACAATCTTAAATAATATGTGCCCAGAACAGTGTGCGGTCAAGCACAGTTCTGGATAGTCCCCTGCGTGTCCCAGAATGTAGATTTTCCCCAGGCATGGTTTGGGACAAGGCCATCTACAAGTTGATTTGCTCTAGTCTGTCGTGGATACGCGTCAGGACTATCCAGATCCGTACGTGGGCTTGATGGATAAGCAAGTGTTGTTTCCGATTCCAGGACGGATCTTGGGTCAGTTTGCTTTCTTGGGTATACTACGTGCCGTGTTGTATCAAGAACTGTGTTCGCACTGTGTTGCAGAATGATACAAGACACTCGTCATACAATCATCGTAGACCAGCGTTAAATGTAAAAAAAATGTACTTTACAGAGCAAGAAATACACCGATTGTTTCTTATCCTTGCCCCGACGAAAAACAAAGATGGCGGCCTAAAACAGATAAAACAACACCCCGAGAAGGCTCCTCCCTCAAAACAATAAGCTATAATAATAATGGTTTATTTACTTCATAAGTTTTGTTTGTTACGAAGGTTATGATGAGTGAAATCAGACAGTAAGTGTAGTATGATATGATATGGGCGGGTGTGTTTGCACAAAGAAAAGGCTATAATTCGATAGTTGCTTATGTTGGTACTTTCATACCTCGTAAGTTTATTGAAGTTAAATAACATCAAACATAACTTGTGGACCTCACTTGCAAAATCTACGAGGAAATGCTAGATTGGCAAAGGTAGGAGGATGTGAAACTTTAGTAGTCATGAAAGTTTTAGTAGTCATGATGTCTCTAAAGACTTCTGATCCAGCAGAAAAAAAACACCTGTTATGGAGTGCTAGTTGTCATGTATTTGTCAAAATGTACACAATGCAGTTATGAACTTATAATGGAAACAGAATATGTGCAAGGTGTCCAATTAACCCCCCTGCAGAGCCCAAATTATTGATATTTTTTTTCCACGGTGGTCAAAATTGGGCCCCGATCTCCCCACCTGCAGTAGAACCCGAACCATGTTCCATATGACGTAATTCGAACAGAACGGTGTTCGAAATGGGGTCACCCGCGGTCATTTACAGTAAACCTGGGTTTTCCTGCCCCTTTTTACATGTGTACCTCCTAACAGAAAAAAATCCACCTTTTAACAAATATATACCATTTCCTGGACATGTCTGCCTTCATTTTGTAGTGGGCTGGAACATGAAACGAAGCTACTGCCGTTATCGTGGGTGACCTTAAAGATCGTAATGCCTGTACTCACCAGCCTAAATAAACACTAGTCATATTCATGCCGTATGACATGCGTCCAAAACTCGTTTAAGATTGGAAGCATGGAGAGTCCAACATATCTCATTGACGGCTCAAAATGACCGTAACGGGTTTGTCCAGAATCGTGTCTTAGGGATTTTCGAAAAAGGACCTTGATTTTAAATTATGCGCAATTGAGTGCGAAAATGTAAAAAAATGCCGTTTTTCACATTTATGTCAACAAAAACTATACTTAAAATCAGAAATTAAAAAATTCCTAAGACATGATTTTTATCTTATTCCTAGTCGTCGAAAAATATAAAAATCGGGGATTTTGGGTAACATACGTTGCCGATCTTAAACGATGTTTGCCTTAAAACATGACTCGGATTGTGTCGGACAGGCGCTCCAAATACCCGCAAAAATCGTGTTTGGGAGCGAGATTTTTCAAAATTAGTAATTTAACGTAAACAACTAACATTAAACCGAAGGGTCTTCAATTTGCAGGCTCTAGTCTCCGTTTAGGGAAGGTTTGTGGGATTCAAGGCGGTAAGGTCTGTAGGTTTGTGGGTGCCATTGTACTGGCGCCCCTGCTTTGCATTTCTGTACCTTGCTTTTTGCACGGAGCATGCTACCTTTTTATGTTTGTTGGGTGGTGACACATGTAGGGGAGTAACACTTAATGTAATAGCGGGAGGAACAGCTCGGGTTGAGTCTCCGTGCATTGCGTCCCATGTTAGGAGTCGTTCTTTCCGCATGGACGGGACTCGCCCGGGTTGGGGAATGAGGTCCAATTTTGTGTGGCTGAATCGAATTTTGACGGCAGTTTATGTTTTTGTACAGGCCACCATACTCGATGCTTCCCCCGGCAGCTGCTCAAGGCTCATCAAGACAAGGATCGACAACCAGCTTCCCACCTCCCCCAACCCGGGCAAGGAACGGCACGCCGACTTCTCTGGTAGACAAGCGCGACCGAGAATGAGATCATTGTCTTGCTTGCATGTGGTTTATCGCTTTGTGTCATTTATTGGTAGGAGTTTTCGGCTGTTTGTTCTTCTTTTCATAGTGAGGGAAGTTTTTCAGGCCGCGTTCCGTTTGTATTGACATGTAAATTGGACGACATAGTCGTAACAGCTTTTGTATGTCGGTGTCTGTCCAGGCACCTGGTTTTGATATTTGCTTTTTTGTGGGCATTGTTCGACTCTTTTAATCGTTGTTATTCAAATAGAGCGTATGCGTGTACGGGCATCCGGGGCTGCATCTCGTGCTGTCTTTTGCCACAAGTTATGTGGAGACAAACGGGCGTAGCTACCGGGCGTGCATAGCAGCAAATATCCTGTGTGTACGGGCATCCGGGGCTGCACCTCGTGCTGTCTTTTGCCACAAGTTATGTGGAGACAGACGGGGCGTAGCTACCGGGCGTGCATAGCAGCAAACATCCTGTGTGTACGGGCTTCCGGGGCTGCACCTCGTACTGTCTTTTGCCACAAGTTATGTGGAGACAGACGGGCGTAGCTACCGGGCGTGCATGGCGGATGCAAGGAACACCGCGCATGTACGGGCTTCCGGGGCGCGCATTGGGTTGTCTTCTGGCACAAGCAGGTGCAGACACCCGATTGCCGCTACCGGGCGTGCACGGCGGAGTGTTACTAGCGGGGTGAGCCAATATATGTTGTTGATAAGGAAGGGGGAAAGAAGGAATTGGCTCACGAAGCGACGACCCCCGTGACTGGGAAGCAGTGCGCCTGCACGGGCTTCCGGGGCGCGCATAGGGTGTCGGTTGGCACCAGCAGGTGCAGACACCCGATGGCCGCTACCGGGCATGCTTGTCGGAGTGTCACTGGTGTGGTGAACCGATACAAGTTGTTAATAAGAAAGGGGGAAAGAAGATAATGGTTGACAAGGCGACGGCTCGCGGGACTGGGAAACCCGGCGGATCAAGTACCGTCAACGTTCAACTGAAAGGCAGGAGATTAGAGGTCGTTGTGGGGCTCACAGGGCAGAAATCCCCAAAGGAAGGCTGACAAGCCTTGTATTGGGTGGTACAGAGCGAGAGGATCACCTTTGTGGGGTGAGCCGACTGGGGAGCCACGAAGTGGGCGCGTGTCCAGGGCAATCTTCACCCCTGTTTGGCAGAAGAAACGACTCTGTCGACATTGTGCTAGGGCACCGAGGAATGAAGGGACGTTGCCCGACAAGAAGTCAATGTTAGGTTAGGAGGGTCCTTCGACCAGCAAGTTGCCGACTACATGTACCTTAAGGTGTGAAAAGGGTAGAAAATGGTAATGCGGGTCCACTTGGACTGGAGAGTTAGTGACTAATTGCCAGTGCAGCTTGCACAAAGACAAGACACAGAGTCCACAATAGGAAGGACCCCTCCCCATCCAAGTCGGAGTACCATCGG